CACACACACACACATACACACACACACACACACACAACTTACCCTCCCTGCGAGGTGGAGATCTGTGTACACACACACAAACACACACCCGCGCGCGCACACACACATACACACACACACACACACAAACACACACAACTTACACTCCCTGCGAGGTGGAGATCTTGAGGGCGTCGACCACGCCCGTAGCGGCCGGACCTGGCACCTCGTCCATCAACTCGAGCTGCTCGAAGCTGCTCAGGTCCGGATCCTGGCTCACTTCCATGATGAAGTCAGGCAGCTCAGCGGGCGCAGGGGGAGGGGACGGCGGAGCGGCACTAGCGGAGGTCGTGGTGGCCGAGGTGGCGGAGTCCAGCGCCCGGGTCTGGTGTTTGCCAACGACCTCCAGGAAGTTGTTCCAGCGCTCCTTCTCCGATTTGTTGGCGAAGAAGGTGACGAGGGAGGCCGGGCTGTCCCTGTGGTGGAGGCACAGCTTGCCCTCCATCAGGTCTGAGGGCCCAGCACACAACACCATACACAACAACGTTTAGTTTAGTTTTAGTAAGAGTTTTACTGCACTTGCAACACAAAAAGGTCATAAAAGTGCCAAAGAATCAGAGGTGTTACAAGCGAGTAACAAACACAAAAAAGGAGGAGAGCTCGGGACGAACAGATGCTTTTTTTCTTTTTTGTTTTCTTTTTAGTAAGTGTTTTACAGCACTTGCAACACGATAAGGTTATATAAGCGCCAAAGATCAGAGGTGTTACAAGTGAGTAACAAACACAAAAAAGGAGGAGAGATAAAGACGGTAGATGTTTGATACCCTTATTTTATCTTGCCTTATCTCATATATCTTATTGTATCATCTCATCTCATCTGATATAATCTCATCACTCATCCCATTTTATCTCATCTTATCATCTGATCATCTTCAATCATATTTTATCTTGCCTTATCTTATAGTATCATCTCATCTCATCGTATATATAGTCTCATGTTTTATCCCATATCATTTGATCTTCTTCACTCTCATTTTTTTTTATCTAGCCTTACGTGATCTTATCTTATTGTATCATCTTATCTCATAGAAAATAATCTCATTTCTTCTCATCCCATTTTTTCTAATCGTATCATCTGCTCTGATATGATAAATCTTATCTAGCCTCATCCAATCTTATCTAACTGTATATTATACTTATCTCATTGTATCCTATCGTCTGATCTGATCTCTTCTTCTACAATCATATCTCATCTTATATTACTGTATCATCTTATCTCATCATACATAATCTCATTCCATTTTATCCCATTCTAAATCATCGTATATTACTGTAACAACGTATTTCATCATAACCTCATTTCAGTTTATCTCATTTATTTCATCATTCATCGGATGTAATCTACACTTTCATCCCATCTCATCATAGACAATCTTATTTCATCTTATCCCATTTTACATTATTGCATTATCTAATCTGACCTACACCCCCC